GTATCTACATTCGGTTAGTCGGCCGGTCAGCCGGTCAACCGGTCAACCAATTAGCTGAAGAACCAGCAGATCAGTACACCAGTATTGCCGGATCCTAATTGAGGTGAATGGAGAAGAAGCGAGCTACCGCCTGTAAACCAGTTGTTTATATTAATGGAAAAAACACAGCCCATCTTAGTATCTTCATTCGTCATTCCCCTTAGAATTCACGGTGTGCACATCAAGTGGGTGTCATATTTGCCCTTCTTCAGTCTGGGCTCTTGCCAACTTTATCCCATCCATCGGATGAGGCCTGTCCGATCTACGAATTCCTGAATTACGACAAGATATATCACAGTCGGACGTCTACACACTTCTAGACATATAGCTTTATCCCGTACATCCAATTGAATTTCGCTTCAGAATTACTACTTGATCTTTTGTACATTAAAAAGGAATTGGATTATAGAAATATATATATACATAGTTATATTTAAGAAATAGGGTGAATAACTCTCATATTAAAAAAGAAGTCAATCATTCTCCCACGCACCTTAACGGGACAGCAAAATGATGAAATTGAGAGTGTTTGTTGTGCCAAACTGTGCACCGTAGAGGAACCGGACGGAACGCTGAACTCTTTCTCTCACCCCAGGCCATTTCAATTGGCCAACAAGTGACTGGCGTATGTTCAGAGGGCTTGAAGTAGCCTTGCCCTCTTCAGGCTTTGGATCGCTCTCGACCAAAGTAGCAAATCTTTTGGCAGAAATGTGACATTTTTGCTGTCTCTGCCTGGAACTTCCGTCAGGAGAGGAATGATTTCCCATTTGTCCTATCACCGGATAGTTGGCAATCCAATTTTGGTCAGTGTCTAGCTTCGTAGTTCAAGCTCTCGTTACGCCGACAATGAGCATGGCCCCGGATTTGTGGCGCCATGTTGACGTGTAGTCGTGGTAATTGATGCGTTTGGCTGGTTGCTGCATTCACCTGACCAGGCTAGTAGCTCATAGGAGACCAATCTTTTCTCCTGGTTGGCAAAATTGTACCTAGAATGTCCCGTTTTCTCCAGCCCCATTTGCCTATCCCGGTCATCAACGTTTACAGTATCCTTGAATGATATCAGTGAATGGGATGTGCTCAATTTTTCAGAAACCAATGAGTTTTCAAGAAAACACATACATGAGTTGGCAAGGCTAGTTGTTATGTCGACCGAGAAGGTTCACAAGTATGTCGCATAATGCTCAGCCACAACTTAGACACATCTTCCAGAGATGACAGCTGTCCTGAGAAATTGTATTTTGAGTGTAAGATGATGTCAACAATGTGGTTCTTTCCCTCACTACATATAATCCAGTACGCAACAATGCATGAGGCTGTACCAGAGGGGGTATTTTTGGTCTGTCTTAGCACAAATAAAGGGGGCGATATTCACTGAGGAGCTATTGAATACACGGAAATGCTGAGTTCATTTAGAGATATAAATATAGGTGTATATGGAAAATACGCTTTTTTATAGATACTATATAGTGTAGTATAGTGCATGATATTATATG